ATTACAGCAGCTAGGTTAGCCCTAGCACAAGTCTGGAAAACAGATCAATTGCCAACGGAGCAGCAAATAATTCAAAAAATTTATACATGTGCAGAAATGGATAGACTAACGTTGAAATTGAAAGATAAGGAAGACTCACAGTATTTTAAGGTATGGGACAGTTGGTATGAGTGGATAAACCAATGGAAAAGAAGGTAAAGTCAAAATTTAGTAAGAAATTAAAAGTAATAATTATACACCGTCATCAAGGAAAAAAAGGAAATAAGTCACTGTGTATATTTATACTTATATACATTATATATACTTGTTGTTTGTTGATACTGTTGATTGTATTTTAAGGTTGTGAATGTTTTATATAATTTTATTTTTTTTAAAATCTAATAAAGTTTGTTTTTTAAAACCAAAAAAAAAAAAAAAAGAATTGCAGAGCTCACTAAAAGGGCAATGATGCCAGCACCATTTTGTAAGAAATCAGCAATGGGGCGCCTTTGGCCCTCCTTTAGGGGCGGGAGTCTGCGTGTGAACTCTCCCTTCAATTCATCCCTTTTGGATGTTTGAAATCCCAAAAAATCTCCTCATTCAGCCCTTGGTCTTGTGCTGGTGGAATACTGGTGTTAAAGCTGAATGGTACCTTTCTCTCCCTACCTCCTACCAGCTTCAAGGAACCTCTGGTGCCAATCAAAGCTGGACTAGCAGATCCATCCTCCACTCCACCCCACCATCCCTGAAGCCCTTCCGGCTCTGAAAATTTCAGCTCCATTCCTAAAGGGGAAAGGACATTTGGCCTTGTGTTGTCCTAGGAGCTCATGATCCAGCCTCATCTTGAATCAGAGCCCTCAGCTGATTGTGACAGCGAACGATGCTGACAGCTGCTCTGGGCACAACGAGACCTCTTAGCAAAGTCACGGCTGCGATGCTTGGGCCACGGACGGCTGGTTTTCGGGAAGTAGTGCGGGAAGAGGAACAAGGAAGTGTACGAAATCAGGCCTCTCAAGTTCAGCGCTTATCTTGAGAGCGTGGCCCAAGGCGAGGCTTCCTTTCTTCCTTTCTACACCGGCGCGCCTTTCCATGTGTCAAGCAAGACATGAGGAGACGGTGCGGGGGAAAACCACCCCGTTGCTAAAAGATCACGGTGTGAAGAATGTTTTAAAGCTGGACAGACGAGTCAACCGATGCCAGAATAACAGAGTAACGGAGCTACCTATCATCTTGCATGGTCCACTCGTTCTCCCTCTTCTTTTTCGAAGCTTTTCAAGTAGTAAACACCGCCATTACCCAGTCCTTTTAATTCTGAGGTATATTTCAGATTATAATATTGTTAAAGAGAGGGAGAAAACATCTTTGAAGCCAGATTTTATCCACACAGGTAAGTGAGATTGCCGGATGTCATTCCATAAACTTTACGGCTACGCAGATAGAACATATAGAACGAAGAATGGTTACTGTTGGAAGAAACCTTGGAGGTCTTTCAGTCCAAACCTCATACATCGCCCAGTTGGCTTTGTGCCTAAAGCGGGACCAGAACATAGAATAATAGAGTTGGAAGGGACTTTGAAGGTCTTCAAGTCCACCCCACTACTCAAGCAGGAGATCCTGTATCATTCCAGACAAATGGCTGTCCAATCTCTTCTTTAAAAACTTCCAGTGTTGAAGCACCCACAACTTCTGGAGGGAAGTTGTTCCACCGATTTAAATGCTCTCCCTGACAGGAAATTCCTCCTTAGTTCTAGGTTGCTTCTCTCCTTGATTAGTTTCCATCCGTTGTTTCTTGTCCTGCCTTCAGGTGCTTTGGAAAATAGGTTGATCACTCCACCACTTCCTCTCTCTGGCAGCCCCTAACATATTGGGAGACTACTATGTCTTTATTTATTTACATGGGGCTTCCCTTGAAGAGCACTTGGAGGCTCCAACTGGTCCAGAATGCGGCCGCGCGGGTGGTTATGGGCGCAACTCGTTGTGCCCACGTGACACTCCTTCTGCGCGAGCTGCACTGGCTCCCAGTGGTCTTCCGGGTGCGATTCAAGGTGTTGGTTACCACCTTTAAAGCGCTCCATGGCATAGGACCCGGGTACCTTCGAGACCGACTTCTGCCACCAGTAGCCTCCCACCGGCCAGTCCGCTCCCACAGAGAGGGTCTCCTCAGGGTGCCATCGGCCAAGTTATGTCGGCTGGTGACACCCAGGGGGAGGGCCGTCTCTGTGGGAGCCCCAGCCCTGTGGAATGAACTGCCCCCGGAAATACGTAAGATCTCCGACCTCCGGGTGTTTCGCTGCGCACTAAAGACCCTGTTGTTCCGCCAGGCTGGGCTATCAATAATTTTAAATTGGAGTATTTTAAATTTCTGGGGTTTTAAATTGAGCCGAATTTATTTAATAATTTTAAATTTTTAATTGATGTTTGTCTTGTGTTTTTAAATAGGCTGTACACTGCCCTGAGTCCTTCGGGATAAGGGTGGTATAGAAATAAAATTATGCTTATACTTATACTTATACTTATACTTATACTTATTTATTTATTTATCGTATTTCTATGCCGCCCAACTCTCCGAGGACTCTTGGCGGCTTACACCAAAGACAGCATGAACAATATACAATAAGAGACGTTAAAAACCCATACACACCACTCATGGCCGGATCTCACAAGATCGCGGTGGTGAGATCAACGGCTCCGAGCCTGCCTGTCTTCCCTGCAGCCTTCTCTTTGGGCTGTTGAAAGCGGGGTTCAGGAAACAGATTCCCCTTTCCTGCATAATGAGAAGATTGCAAAAAGCGAGGAAGGAACGCCGATCTGCATGTTTTCAGTTCCCACACCTTTGCCGGAAATATCACAGGAGGAAAAGGGGGCCTGTTTATGGAATTCAAACCTGCTTAATGGGACTCATTCATGATCAACCAAGCTTAACATCGACTTTATGCAAATGCAAACCAAGCTTTTGGGACCTTTGACCCGTTTAAGCGGGTTGTATGAACACAGCCATTCCATTCCATATATAAGCACTTTTTAAAAAATAAAAATAGAAAAACTCGTTTATCTCATCGTCCTATGCTGCTCAAATAGGTCATTCTGCTGAAAGATCCAAGGATAAAGGTGCCATCTAGTGGTAGCGGACCTAAATAGCTACTTTGGAAGAGGAAAAAAAAAAATCCAAGACCTTGGATAAATTTCATAGCGATTCCACAAATTGTGGGGGAGGGGGGAGGACGGGGGGGGAAGGGGGGGGCATGCTTGGGAAACCGAAAGTAAGTCTTGTGCCATCTTGAGAAGCTGCTTCAAGGTCGCCCAGCTGGAAGGAGGAGGGAGCGGCACACCCGAGCACGCTTGAACTGACCGCTAGAAAAACAGCTTGCAAGATTTTGATTGGTTACCTTGAGGTGGGAAAGGAAAGACAATTAAGGAAGGGAAAGGAGAAGGAAGTATAAGGTAGAGATTTTAGCACACGAATCTCAGTTCTGGCTATGCATTACTGACATACACTTGATCTGCAATAAAAATATACTTTTCTCAGCAAACGAGGCCCGGGATTGTTTTCTACTTCGAGGTCTAAATTTGTGGCAGGTTCTGACCGACGGTATCACCAAGAGATGGACATTGTCAGATCCCTAAAAGTGATACTGCCATTCAGTTGGAGGATGGGGGAGACTTGGATTCGATTTATTAGCATTGCCTGTGTCAAGAGATATTTTACAACCTATATCCTGGCGCCAAAGAGCCCTGAGATCCTCTTTACCTGGAGGAATTTTTATGATAGCCATGTGGGTTATTTTACTTTAAAGGATAACAGTGGGAATGCAAGTTTGTTCGGGTTCTCAGGGAAGCCAGGAAAGAAAACATCTTCACACTTGTGTATTGGCGAAAATCTGCATTCTGGCTTAAAGGGAGGGGTCTCTACTGCTTTAATCCTACTTGTCTTGCCTAAGGGTATTCAGATCGTGCTTTAACTGGATGGCTTTCACTTCTGCTTAATAAAAGAATCCTCTTGAACAACCACATTTCAAGAGTTCTTACTTTCTTAAATTGGAAGGAGAGGCGATCCTTACAGACATAATGAGAGGCCACCCTAGTTTTAGGAGGTCAAAGGTCACCCAAGGTGGGCTAATGATGACCGTCAACATGATGGGACAATGCTACATGAAGATTGGGGGTGGGGGGGAAATCAACCTATAGGTAGTCCTTGACTTGCAACAGTTCGTTTAGTGACCCTTCAAAGTTATAATGGCACTGAAAAATGTGATTTATGACCGTCTTCCAGCATTCCCTATGATCATGTGATCAAAATTCCGATGCTTGGAAACTGGCATGTATTCATGACAGTTGCAGTGTTCCCAGGATCACGGGATCCCTTTCCTTGACCTTCTGCCCAGGAAATTCAATGCGGAAGCCAGATTCACTTAACCACCCGGTTACTCTGCTTATCAACTGCAAGTGATTTGCTTTAACAACTGTGGCAAGAAAGGTCTTAAAAGTGGGGTAAAACTCACTTAAATGTCTCACTTAACAATAGAAATGTCAGGCTCAGCTGTGGTCGTAAGCCGAGGACCAGCTGTCATTGACGCTGAACTGCTCCGCTGCTTTATATGATGTGGAAATGCCACCACATCAAAATAGAAACTTCAGAACTATGCTTCGCTTTCAGCAAAGAACTAAAACTCTCAGCAGGGACAACTTGCACAAACTTTGCAACCGAATGTTCACACCAGGGGTGGGTTCTACTTACCTTTACTACCGGTTTGTAACGGGATCACACGTACGCGAGCTAAGCTACTGCACATGCGCAGAAGCTTCTGCATATGCGATCGCCAATGACGACATCTGGGGCAGTGGGCGGAGCCTCCCGCCGGTTTTACTACCGGTTCTTGCGAACCGGTCTGAACTGGGGGGCAACCCACCACTGGTTCACACACTCAATTGTAGAGCTCAGAAGTTTTCCTGAGGTGAAACTGACCGGTAGGAAGCCAGGGTGAAGGGAAAAGGACACTGAAAAAAACCACTGAAACCTTTCCAACACTGATCGAGAGGTTTTTATTTTTCCTTTTTTAAAACAATAAAAACAAAAAGCCGAGTTCTGAGCAAAATTGAACCACAAAAGAGTCTGTATTTTTCCACCCCCCCTCCAAAGTTTAAACAAGCGTTGAAAAGTAAGGCTTTGCAAAGGGTATATCGAAATAAATTATCTTCACTTAAACACTGTCCGGTTTTTCTTATACGGTATTCACCTTTAAACGTCCTAAAAACCTAGCAGTGAAAAAAAATCTGTTTTGTTTCTGTTCCCCCCCCCCCCATTAATACTGGGCTCCTTCTGGATACGGGGGATACTCCTGAAACACTTAAAAATATGCTTGCCTTGCCTTGTAAACATATTTACGGAGCCAAAAACCTAAGAAGCTTCCGACAGAGTTATTAGCAATTTAAGGATTTGAGAACTGCTGGAACATACCTAACTACGTATCAAATAGCCCTCGAGTCTTTTAAACCTGCACATTTTATCAAGCTAACGTTTATTGCAAAATGTACACTTAAAAAAATAGATTTTTTGCATGCTGCCCCGCCTGTCATATGAAAATGCCATCTTCTGAATGTCGTGGGGGGGGGGGGGTTTCTCTGCAATTTACTTCCAAGTTGAATTCTCTTCGTTTTGCCCTGCTTGCTTTACTGAAATGCTGCGCTAAAAAAGCAACTTACAGCATCCTCGTGGCTGGGTATTCTAACGCTAGCCGCAGTTAAAAATGAATTTTCTCGCCAGCCTCTCGGGGGGGGGGGGAAGCAACCCAGAGATGATGAAAACTTTCCACATGAGGAATGGGGTGGGGGTGGGGGAGTTTGAACGTCTGGCTTCGAGTCGCTTGGAAACTGCAGCAAAACTTTTGCTCCGATGCAACTCCTGCAGATTAACACGCACAGCTTCCCTGCCCCAAACTGTAGAAATGTCACTTTTATCCAAACGATGCTACATACGTTTGGGATGGGAAAAAAACCAGCAGCCATGTTTGCTTACAGAAGGGAGGAGGAGGGGAGGAGGAGGAGGAAAAGGAGAAGGGGAGGAGAGGAAAGGGAGAGGAGGAGGAGGAGAAGAGGAGGAGGAGGAGGAGGAGGAGGAGGAGGAGGAGAGGAGAGGAGGAGGAGAAAGAGAAGGAGAAGAGGAGAAGGAGGAGAGGAAGAGGAGGAGAAGAGGTGGAGGAGGAGGAGAGGAGGAGGAGAAAGAGAAGGAGAAGAGAGGAGAAGGAGGAGAGGAAGAGGAGGAGGAGAAGAAGAGGTGGAGGAGGAGGAGAGGAGGAGGAGAAAGAGAAGGAGAAGAGGAGAGGAGAAGGAGAAGAGGAGGAGGAGGAGGAGGAGAAAGAGAAGGAGAAGAGATGAGAAGGAGGAGAGGAAGAGGAGGAGGAGGAGGAGAAGAAGGAGAGGAGCAGGAGGATGGAACGACAATTTCTTTTTTTTAAAAAATAACCCTTTACTTCTTACTTATTCTACTCCTCCTCAAAAGACCTTCACGGGGAAGTCATTATCGGCAAGGGACTGTCACTCACACTGTCCACAAACACGCAGCCCCCTCGTTTCTCCTCCCCCCCTCTTGCAACACACAGTAAGCTTGAAAAGTTTGGGTCACAAAGAGGGGTGGGTAGGTGTAGAAATTAGGCACCCCCTGAAAAAAAAGAAAAAGAAAAAGAAAAAGAGAGAAAACCCCAACCTGGGAGGAAAAAAAATATATATCAATAAACCCGAGAGAAAAGGCGAAGTGCCCAGGTGTCCAAACACTTAGGAGCGATCACATGCTTTTTTTTTTTTTTTTTCTCGAGAGCGGAGATGCGGCCCAACCTGATCCCTGGTCCTTTAAGAGCCGTGGGCTTTTTCTGAGTTCGCTGGGCTCCGATCCCAGCGAGAAGAATGCGGGATGATATCGAGGTGAACGTGTGGGGGGAGGGGGGGAAGGAACAGCGGACCAGAAGCGTTAGGACGGATGCTGTTTCTGTAACCTTCGCTCGGCGGCGGCGGCCAACATCCTGCGTCGTAAAGTGATGGAGTCGGAGGCTGCTCCTTCAGCCTGGGAGGGAAAGTCCGGCGTGGGATCATCGAAGCTTTTGTTAAGGTAGCGCCTGGAAAAACAGGAAGATCTTTTGTGACGATGACAAGTATAAGAAGTCTGGGAACTATCACCATCAACTACTACCACCAATGGTGGACGTGCCCCAAAGCAGGCAAATATTGGTCCAAGGTTTGGAACTGGATAGTGGAAATTACAGGATATAACATAGAGTTGAAACCAGAGATTTTTTTTTATTAGGAATGAAACCAGACAAAATAACTAAGGAAAAATAGTACTTGATCCTCCACATTACTACTGCAGCTAGGATACTACACATGCAAGAGTGGAAAAATGAATTAATACCTACAGAAAATAAATTTGATTTGGAAAATTCCAAATCACTGGTAGTACAGTGGTCTAAGGCACCCTGTTATTAAGCTGGTTATTAAGACCAGATGCCTGCAATTACTGCAGGTTCGAATCTCGCCAAGGCTCAAGGTTGACTCAGCCTTCCATCCTTTCTAAGGTAGGTAAATTGAGGACCCAGTTTGTGGGGGCAATAAGCTGACTTTGTATAAATGTACAAAAGGATGAAGGCTATTGCTTAGTGCATTGTAAGCCGCCCTGAGTCTCCGGAGAAGGGCGGCATATAAATCAAATTTAAAAAAAAAAAAAATTACAGAATGCGCAGAGGCAGACCGGTTAACGAAATTACTTAGGAACCAAAAAGATTCTGATTATTACAAATGTTGGAATTCATGGTATAATTGGGTGAAAGAAAAGAGAGGGGAAATGAAATGGATTGTATTAGTGGTATAGGCGCTTATTTGTGTACGTTAGTTGCAATAACTTTGTATGTATATATGTAAAGTATTGTATTTTTAAAAATGAAAATAAACTTTGAAAAAAATTTTTTTTAAAAAAAAGAAGTCTGGGTTTGCCAGGCGCTTTGCTTTGCCGAAGAAATGTCTTTCGGAGATGCTAAATCAATTCAGGGGCAAATACAGGTAGTCCTTGACTTACGACAGTTCCCTTAGTGACCGTTCAAAGTTACGACGGCACTGAAAGAAATAACCAGTGACCGTTTTCAGACTTACAAGTGTTGCAACATTCCCGTAGTCATTTGATCAATATTCAGATGCTTGGCAACAAGTTCTTATTTATGACCGTTGCTATGTCCCCGGGGGGGGTGTCCTGTGATTCCCTTTTGCGACCTTCTGTCAAGCAACGTTAATGGGGAAGCCTGATTCGCTTAACAACCAGGTTGCTAACTTAACAACTGCACTGATTCGCTTAAGAACCGTGGCGAGAAAAGTTGTAAAGTGGAGCAAAACTCACTTTAAAAAAAATGCCTCGTGGAACAACAGAGAGGTTGGGCTCAGTCGTGGTCGTAAGCCGAGGACCACCTGTACCAAGTCAGATTTTGCACCCCAACAATACTACACTCAAGAAATGCTGGAAAGAGCCTGTCCGAATCAGTAAACGGAATAGATTGGTGTGTTTTTAATGGCAACGGAGTTCTAATTTGCATAATCCAACTGGTCTGGCAGCTCAATGAAGCCGAGCCATCCTGAAAGGCATTTGAACTTCTGGAATGTTCGTTAAGCCCCATGCAAACATTTTCAAGCATGGGAAAAAGGAAGGAAGTGCCTGCTCTTTGGGGGAAGAAAAAAGAGGAGGAGGGGGGAGGGAGAGGAGAGGAGAGGAGGAGAGGTGAGGAAGAAGAGAGGAGAGGAGTGGAGAGGAGAGGAGAATGGAGGAGAGAAGAGAGAGGAGAGGAGAGGAGAGGAGAGGAGAGAGGAGAGGAGGAGAGGAGAGGAGAGGAGAGAGAGAGAGGAGAGGAGAGAGAGGAGGAGAGAGGAGGAGAGGAAAATGGAGAAGAGGAAAGAGTGGAGTGGAGTGGAGTGGAGAGGAGTGGAGAGGAGAATGGAGGAGAGAAGAGAGAGGAGAGGAGAATGGAGAAGAGGAAGGAGTGGAGTGGAGTAGAGAGGAATGGAGTGGAGAGGAGAATGGACGAGAGAAGAGAGAGGAGAGGAAAATGGAGAAGAGGAAAGAGTGGAGTGGAGTGGAGTGGAGAATGGAGGAGAGAAGAGAGAGAGAGGAGAGGAGAGGAGAGGAGAGGAGAGGAGAGGAGAGGAGAGGAGAGGAGAGGAGAGGAGAGGAGAGGGAGAAATCCCAAATTTTAAGATTCCAGGGATTATCTAAGACATTTGATCTAACCAGAGTGGATCAGATGAAGAAGATGGGGTACCTAATTGGAGCTCATGGTTACTAACTGTGAGGACTGTTCACCACTTCGTCAAGGTCATGTCAGTGGGAAGGGGGTCTGTTACCTTCCCACCTGTAACTAGCAGCCCTCTTTTTGACTCATGCAAAGTGCAGTATACAGGTCCTCAATGGAAGGCAAATTGGTAGTAATTGTTTTTTGGGGGGAGTTTCAAGATCCTATTCTACTGTTGGAATGGCCTGGGAGTAGTCCAGACAACCCAACTGAAAATCTATGGAGCCGACTAAAGAAACTTATTAATCAGAAGCGACCCAGCAATAAAACCCAGTTAATAGAAGCCATCCTTCAATCTTGGTTTCACATTCTAACAGCTGCAGAACTCAAAGACTTGGTTCACTCCATGGGAAGACCTTGTAAGGCTGTAATTCATGCTAAAGGTTACCTAACTAAGTATTAACTGACATGGTGATCATTTTTTTTATATCTCGTTTTTTCTATGGTGATAATTTTTGTATATCTCCTTTTTTCTACGTGTTTCACTTTTCTTCTTTATACTGTAACTGCTACTCTAATAGCAAATCCTTCATAGAAGTTATTGCATTACATTCTTGATTAAATTACCTTTCCATTGATATGTAATTTTATGGTACCACTCCAAAAAAAGCGGTGTTATCAGCTAGTTTTAGAAAATACACTTTTCCCAAAAGGTTTCCACAATTTTGGCCATTACTGTACATCTTTGTTCCTGCGCTCTCCTACAGTTAGGAGAACAACGGGACAGGAAATATCACAACTGCACACAGCTTCCTCCAGACACACACCTGCGTGCTTGTTGCAACAAGTCTTCCTTCCTCTGAACCAACATTCGCTGCCTCTCGTCTGCCGACTTGGAGAAGCGGCTGCCTCTCACTTCGAAGTCCTCTGTCTGGGCTGCTTCTGCTTCCATCATTTCATTAAACTCCGCCGTGTCTTCCAGCCTTGATCTGAGTTCAAGAGGGATCCTTTCCGTCTGCCACGCAGGACAAAAAAAAAAGGGGGGGTGAGAAGAGAAACAAGGCCCATTTGCATTCATTCATTGATTAATTTCGGTCGATACATTTATTATGGCAATCGCCACAGAGCACGAAAGGAAGAAAATTGGCAATAGTAATAAAATGCACACAAAAGGAAAAGGGGGGGGGATCCTATCCTAAACGGTTGTAAATTTGGATATCCCTGACCTGAAGTAATTGATTCAGCCAATTCCCTACAGAGAAAACTATCTCTGTATAGATAGCAATAGCACTTACTTATATATACCGCTTCACAGTGCTTTATACCCCTCTCTAAGGGTTGTGGCCTGCCAGCAGAGCTGGTGGCAGACTCAGTGTCAGGTTCCGATGTCATCTCAAATAAATTGCATTCCCAAACGATTAATCTTTACTGAAATCTTCCATTTATTGAGTACGACAAATCTGGCCCCAACTTCGTCGTAGCCGATACTAACCCTCTGACCCCAAACCCTTCCTTTTCCGTTCCTCAATTCTCAGCGTCTCATTGGCCATCTTCCAAGTCAGTCTCCCCAGCTCCTGACTTCAACCCACAGGAATGTCCCCCCTCCCATCCCATCTCCTAGGGGATATTATCTACAGAGAAAATAAGTAGGTGAAAAGTCAAACCTCGTCTTCTCCTCTTAATGGCAGCATTAGAATGCTGACACTCAGACTGTGAGGATGTTTGGGGAGGAACATGGGCCAATCCTGGAGTCTGGGGAAGGCTCTGATGAGGGCTCTGCGTCGGAGGCAGAGAGGGGGCCAGGGCCGTCTTGATAGTTATCAGCTGCCTTCAGAGTGAGACATCAGTGAGGCAGATGAACAGCTGGAGCCTGTTCCCAGTGTGCGCATGCACAGAGTTGCCAGACGAAAGGAACAGCTAAGGAACAAGGGCCAACTCGGGAGTAAAGGCACAGGTGGATGGTGAATGGGCCCTCCAATAGGGAATAAAGAGGAGTGAAAGGGGAGTGGAGTTTGCAGGAGACAATTAGTTCGCTTAATTGGTTTGTGACTCTCCGAGACTCCTTGCCAGGCCAGATATTGGCCTGGCAGCTCTCCAAGCCAGAGAAGGTCTGTAACTGTAAATTCTCCCTTGAAAGACTTTGCTGGATGTGAATGAGAGGAATTCACAATAACTTAATAAAAAGGGGGTTTTGTCGGGACAAGGAGTCTGCTTCGTGCTCTGGGGAAGCCTCGGTCAGAACACTAAGTGGATTACAGAGTCAGCCTCTTGCCCCCAACAATCTGGGACCTCATTTTACCCACCTCGGAAGGATGGAAGGCTGAGTCAACCTTGAGCCAGTCAGGATCGAACTGCTGACAGTCGGCTGAGCTTGCAATACTGCATTCTAATCACTATGCCACCACAGCTCTTTATTATTTTATTTATTTATTTATTATATTTCTATAATATACTTATATATAATTAATATATATATAAATATAATATAATTATACCCTTCCTTTGTCACATTACCTCCATTTCCTCCTCAGCATCTTCTTGATCGGTATTCTGTCTTTCTACAGGACTGTTCAATGCTGGTCGGATACTGTCAGAACGCTGTGCATGTTTTTTTAAAAAAATTAAGAATTAACTGATACGGAAAATATTGAAACTTCCTTTTTTGTAAGCGCTTTAAATTGTATTATGGATCCTGCTGAAGCTCCCATTTCAAGGCCATGGGTCATACCGACTGATTATTTTTTTTTTAATTCAAATTTTATTAGCTTATCAGAATAGAAAACACAAAGAAAAATGAAAATAATAGGAATGTGGGGGAGGAAAAAGGGAAAGAAGAGGCAGTGTAGGGAAAAAGGAAAACAAAAACATTTGACTTCCAACTCTTTTCAGCAGAGTAATAAATGTTACACAGCCTCAAATTTTTGCTTTTACACAGTAATATATACTAGCCATTTCTATAAGAACAAACCTATTTAATCAGCAAAACCCCAAATCCGTTTCATTTTTTTTCCATCTCAAGCACAAACTCCAGAAGTGGTTTCCCAGTGAAAACAAAATTAGATATATACTTGACTTTAAATAAAGCATCTCTAATTTTTTCCTTGTTCTGGGAAGTAATACATATTTGTTTTTTCACTTATTAATCTTTATAAACTATAAAGTATAGTTTATAAAGATTAATAAGTCATTTATAACTCTAACCCTAACCCTCCTTCTTCCTCTATCACTATCTATCTATCTATCTATCTATCTATCTATCTATCTATCTATCTAGCATGTCGATAGATCTATCATCTCTCTATCTCTCTATCTATCATCTACCTGCCTGCCTGCCTGCCTGCCTGCCTGCCTGCCTGCCTGCCTATCTATCTATCTATCTATCTATCTATCTATCTATCTATCTATCTATCTATCATCTACCTCCCTATCTATCTATCTATCTATCTATCTATCTATCTATCTATCTATCTGTGTCTGTCTGTCTATCATCTACCTATCTATCTATCTATCTACTTATCTATAATCTATTTATCTATCTCTATCTTTGTCTATTATCTATATCTATCATCTGTATCTATCTATCATCTATCTATCATCTATATCTATCATCTATATCTATCATCTATCTATCTCTAGCATCTATATCTATCTATCTATTTATCTATCTATCATGTCTGTCTATCTATCTATCTATCTATTTATCTATCATGTCTGTTTGTCTGTCTGTCTGTCTGGCTGACTCAGGGCGGTGAACAGCGAAACGATAAAAATACATGTAATACAAACGTTAATAATAAAAAACCAATTAAAATATACTAAATATTCTGGTCCTAGATAATTCAAGACATCCCAGTTTAAAATAAAATCAAAAAGCAATATAAAGGGAAAGTTAGGCCAGGCCGGCCTGCTGAAACAGGAATGTTTTGAGGGCACGGCGGAAAGTGCGCAGATCCGGAATCTTCTGTATCTCTGGGGGGAGCTCGTTCCAGATGGTGGGTGCCCTCACAGAAAAGGCTCTCCCCCTGGGGGCTGCCAGTCGACATTGTTTGGCTGACGGCACCCTGAGAAGCCCCTCTCTATGGGAGCGTACTGGGCGGTGAGAGGCTATTGGTGGCAGAAGGCGGTCTCGTAAGTACCCCGGTCCTAAGCCATGGAGCGCTCTAAAGGTGGTAACTAAGACCTTGAAGCGCACCCGGAAGACCACCGGGAGCCAGTGCAGCTCGCGCAGGAGGGGAGCCACATGGGAGCGCCATGCTGCTCCCATAACTACCCGCGCGGCCGCATTCTGGACCAGCTGGAGCCTCCGGGTGCTCCTCAAGGGGAGCCCCATGTAGAGAGCATTACAGTAGTCCAGGCGTGAAGTGACGAGGGCATGAGTGACCGTTTTTAACGAGTCCCAATCCAGAAAGGGACCCAACTGGCGAATCAGGCGAACCTGATAAAAAGACCTCCCGGCCACAGCCGTCAAGTGTTCTTCTAAAGACAGCCGTGAGTCCAAGAGGATGCCTAAGTTGCGAACCCTCTCCGTGGGGGGCAATGACTCATCCCCAATAGTCAGTGATGGCACCAATTGACTATATCGGGATGTTGGAAACCACAGCCACTCGGTCTTGGATGGGTTGAGCCTGAGTCTGTTTTTCCCCATCCAGATCCGTACAGCCTCCAGGCACTGGGACATCACTTTAAGGGCATCATTGGGGTGGTCTGGGGTGGAGATGTATAGCTGAGTATCATCAGCATACTGATGATACTTCACCCCAAAACCATGGATGATCTCACCCAGCGGCTTCACATAAATGTTGAACAGAAGGGGTGAGAGAACCGACCCCTGTGGCACCCCACATACAAGGGGCCTCGGGGTCGACCTCTGCCCCCGTCAACACAGACTGCGACCGATCAGAGAGAAAGGAGGAGAACCACCGCAACACGGTGCCCCCCACCCCTAACTCTTCCAACCGGTGCAGCATGATATCATGGTCGATGGTATCAAAAGCTGCTGAGAGGTCTAATAGGACCAGGATAGAGGAGCAACCCCTGTCCCGGGCCCTCCAGAGATCATCTACCAATGCGACCAATGCCGTTTCCGTGCTGTATCCAGGCCTGAAGCCCAACTGGAACGGATCTAGATAAGCCAATTCATCCAAGTACTGAGGAAGCTGTCGCGCTACCACACTCTCAACAACCTTCGCAATGAAGCGAAGGTTGGAGACTGGATGGTAATTAGCCAACACTGCTGGGTCCAGGGAAGGCTTCTTGAGGAGAGGCCTTACCACCGCCTCCTTCAAGGCGGCAGGAAAGACACCCTCTTTCAAGGAAGCATTTATAATCCCCTGGAGCCAACCTCGTGTAACCTCCCGAGAGGCCAGCACCAGCCAGGAGGGACACGGGTCCAATAAACATGTGGCCGCGCTTAGTCTGCCCAGTATCTTGTCCACGTTTTCCGGAGTCACAGAATCAAACTCTTCCCAGGTAATATTCTCAAGACTTGCCTCCATCCTCCCTCCCGAATCTACCCAGTCAGGATCCAAATTTTCCCAAATCTGAGCGATTTTGTCATACAGATATTGTACAAAGTCCTCGGCTCTACCCTCCAAGGGGTCCTCCCGCGCTTCCTGGTGGAGCAGAGAGCGGGTCACCCTAAACAGGGCGGCCGGGCGATTATCTGATGACGCAATAAGAGCGGAAAAATAGTTACACTTTGCCGCTTTTATTGCCACCAGGTAGGTCTTAATATGAGACCTTACCAGTGTTCGGTCAGATTCAGAACGGCTGGCCCTCCAACTGCTCTCCAGGCGTCTTTTCCGGCGTTTCATCTCCCTCAGCTCCTCGGTGAACCAGGGAGCCAGGTGAGATCGACGCCGGGTCAGAGGCCGCAAAGGCACGACCCGGTCCAAAGCTCCAGCGGCCGCCCTATCCCAGACAGCCACTAGGTCTTCAGTCGAGCCGTGTGCCAGAGCCTCAGGAAATGGCCCAAGCTCCATCTGGAACCTATCCGGGTCCATCAGGCACCTGGGGCAGAACCACCTCATCGGTTCCGCCTCCCTGCGGCAGGGTGTGGCGATTCGAAGGTCAAAGCGAAGGAGGGAGTGATCTGACCATGACAAGGGCTCGATCGCTATATCTCCTATCTCGAGACCACTCAGCCACTGACCAGAGACAAACACCAGGTCCAGCGTGTTTCCCCCCGTGTGAGTAGGGCCATGAACTAATTGGGTCAGGTCCATGGCCGTCATGGAAGCCATGAACTCCTGAGCCACCTCAGACGCCTCACCGACGGATGGCAGGTTGAAGTCCCCCATGACCATAAGTCTAGGGGTATCAATCGCCACCGCGGCTATAACGTTGAGTAGTTCAGGCAAGGCCGCTGCCACGTGGCAGGGAGCCAGGTACGTAACCAGCAGGCCCATCTGCACCCCATGACCCCACTTCACAAGGAGGGACTCACATCCGGCCGTCTGAGGAACAGTGGCCTCCCTCGGACTAAGACCCTCTTTAATGATAACTGCCACCCCCCCTCCCCTTCCCTGTGACCTTGGCTGATGAAATGCCCGGAAACCGGATGGGCACATCTCCCCCCTCCTGGCCCAACCAGGTCTCCGTAATACCCACCAGGTCCGCTCCCCCCTCCTGAACAAGATCACAAATGAGGGGGGCTTTATTTACCACGGACCTGGCATTGCATAGCATCAGCCGAAGGCCCAGGGCCTGAGGGTCTGTGCCACCTGGGGAACGAGAAGAGCATTGGGGGCCGGAGCGTGCCACCGCTTGAAGACAGCGAGCGCGCACTCCCGCAACTTGATGTGGCCCCCTACTCCCGCCATATCGGCCCCTCCCACCTACAGTACTGATGTAATGTCTATCAACAGCACAAGCTCTAACCCTCTCCTTGGCCCCAGATTCTGCATCTCCTCCACCGTGCTCTTCAGATGGACCAAACCCTGTCCTTCGCGGGTTAATCCCTGAACCCATACAACCCACCCCACTCCCGGGAGGCCCCCCAGCCTCATTATTTACATTGGAAACCACCCTCCTCCCAGATCCCCTTAAAATAGAATTTGAAAAACTATCTAAAAAACCCCAAAGCTTCCGGTTCTTAGCATACCACCTCTCGGGGTTCCAAAACCCGTCCTTGAGGGCGGCCCTAGATAACTGGGAGGGCCAAACTTGCAAGAGGGGGGAATCTCGCAGTGCTAGGAGTTCTGTTATTGAATACATCGGAGGTGAGATAGAATTGTTTTAATCTGTCTGGGCCAAAATGATTTAATTTGATTTTATCTGGTTTTTAATTTTTTTGTATCTATGTATTTTATTGTTTGGCTGTTCACCGCCCTGAGTCCTTCGGGAGTAGGGCGGTATACAAATCAAATAAACTAAACTAACTAAACTAAACTTACCAAGTAGACCAGACAAGAAACCAGGCAAATTAATGCTACTTTATTGTAAGGCTACATTAATAGAAGCCTGGAAGTCTGAAAGTACTAATCTCCCTGTCTCTTTTAGAGCCTGAGAAACTGGCCAAGGTCCGTTCGGAGCCTCTTGCTCCATCCACTATCCAGCTGCGGGCTATGCCATCTGACCGTTTCCTAGGCAGCATCTCTTTGCCCCACCTCCTAACGTCTTTCCCACATGCCATTACATTATGTCACAACTCTACGGTAGCTTCTTACGTGGTTATTACACACCTCTATCAGCCAGTTAAACAAGTTAAAACAAGTAACACACATGGACGCATCAACACTTAAAGAGATCAATCCACAGAATCATCTTCCTTTGAAAAGAATATCTGGCAGTTATCTGATGGTTTTGTTTCCTGTGTCTTTTGGACAACAAATGTATTGCCTTAAAGCTTCAACATTATAAAATCTATTTTATGTCCTTGACAATGGGAAATATTCAGGGGAGAGGGTTTTTGGCAAGGCCTTCTCCACTGTAGAATAATCTGAAAAGTAATTTGCATGCTACTCCAAAAACCCAACCCTTTGTTCTTTTAATGAGAGCCAACAGCATTCAGAGTTGCTTAGGTGGAGTAGAAAAGACTCCACACAACTCATCCCAGGTTTGACAAAACTCTACCACACAAAACAACTCCAAATGGGTGGAGTAGACCACACAGGCTTTTAAAGGATTCCCGTGGGCTTCTGAACAACTCTTACAAAAGAAGTGGGAATTCACAGGGTGCAGTTTTAATCCAGCTAATTTTTCAAAATATCTATGGCGTAGAATGCACACAGTATTCCTGAATTTAATATATATTGTATTTTGAGAGGGAGAGAGAGAGAAGCGTGGATTAGATAGATAGGTAGATTAAATAGATGGGGGGGGTGATAGAGATGGATGATAGATACTAGATGGATGGATGGATGGGAAGAAAGGAAGAAGAAAAAGAAAGAGAAAGAAAGAAGGAAGGAAGGAAGGAAGGAAGGAAGGAAGGAAGGAAGGAAGGAAGAAGGGAGAGAGAGAGAGAGAGAGAGAGAGAGAGAAAGAAAGAAAGAAAGAAAGAAAGAAAGAAAGAAAGAAAGAAAGAAAGAAGGAAGTTAAGAGAGAAAGAGAGAAAAGAGTAGATTAGATGGATTAGATAAAGGTAAAGGTTCCCCTTGCACATATGTGCTAGTCGTTCCCGACTCTAAGGGGCGGTGCTCATCTCCGTTTCAAAGCCAAAGAGCCAGCACTGTCCGAAGACGTCTCCATGGTCATGTGGCCAGCATGACTCAACGCCAAAAGCGCACAGAACACTGTCACCTTCCCACCAAAGGTGGTCCCTATTTTTCTACTTGCATTTTTTACGTGCTTTCGAACTGCTAGGTTGGCAGAAGCTGGGACAAGGAACGGGAGCTCACCCCGTTACATGGCACTAGGGATTCGAACCGCTGAATGCCGACCTTTCATCAACAAGCTCAGCATCTTAGCCACTGAGCCACCGTGTCCCCTGGGATGGATTAGGTAGGTAGATTGGATGGATGGATGGATGGATGGATGGATGGATGGATGGATGGATGGAGAGAGAGAGAGATATACAGACAAAGAGACAGACAGATGATAGGGGACAGAGAAAGAGAGAGAGATGGATGAAAGAGATAGATGATAAATAGATGATAGATAGATAGATAGACAGACAGACAGACAGACAGACAGACAGACAGACAGATAGATAGATAGATAAGAGATAGAGATAGATAGATGATAGAGAAAGATAGATAGATAGATAGATAGATAGATAGATAGATAGATAGATAGATAGATAGATAGATGTTGATATTGATATTGATGGATGGGTGGATAGGTAGGTAGGTAGGTAGGTAGGTAGGCAGGCAGGTAGGTAGACAGACAGACGAGAGGGAGGGAAGAAGGGAGGGAGAACACAAGTATCTAGCCCAGTTCAGGGTCTATTATCTTGGACCCACCTGTGTTGGGAAAGGCACCTGGATGCGTCCCTCTAAAATATTGTCCGTTGTTATTTCTACCGAGCGGGTCAGTTGCAGGTCCTGGAGAATGAGGTGGTAAGGAACCTGGGGGAACATCTCCTGGATTTGATGGGCCTAGGAAAACCATGCCAAAATGCGTATTGCTCAGCAATTAAACCAGCTACAAAATCTCCAACCATCCAGATTGGCATATTTTTTTTAAAAAAGAAATAGAAATGTAAATTGAGCATATTAAAAAAAAAACACACACAGGGGAAACATGGGCACTTTTGGCCGAAGAAGACGCATGAATTTTGAGTGGTGGTCTGAGGCCTCTCTGAAACACAGCAAGGGCCTGGAGGAACAACCATGCATTACGTAAGATGGTAGTTCCTAGAAATATTTTCTCTATAGGTAGTCGACTTACAACAGTTCTGTTGTGGCCCGTCAGCGGCCTGTGCAGCTAGTAGCTGATTCTGACAGCGAGGAGGCTGGTGTGGTGCTGCGCCAGCAGCCTGTGCAGCTGGCACTCGAGTCGGACAGTGAGGAGGCTGGAGAAGATGTGGTGCCAGAGGCGGGGATTCAGCCAGGGCCTTCAGAACCTCCAGAAGCTCCCATAAGTGAAGAGGAAGAAGAGGAGGAGCCTCTTCTCAATGCACGAGCGTGCAGAGCTGCGAAAAGGCAGGAGTGGCTCCTCAGGAGGAGGTCTCCTCGAGAGCAAGGCTTGGGGCTAATTGGCCACTCCCTTAGCCTATTTAAGGAGGAACGCCGACTGAAGCAATTTGTAGGGAACAACTTCGTTCACTCTCCTTCGCGTCTGGATCTTAGTTCTCTGCAAATTGCTTCTGGGCTTTATGCCAACCATAGTAAGATTACGATTATTTATTCTTTGGATTCTTGTAGACTGTTAAGAAAGTTAATTATCAGCCTTTGTTTGAAAAAGACTTATTTAATTTAGTAAACTAAGGTTTGTACAGACTTTATGTGTGCTGCGTTCTTTGGGTCCATAGCTGGGGCAGAACAAGTTTGTTTAGTGACCGTTCAAGGTTACAACGGCACTGGAAAAAATGACTGATGACATTTCTCTTCACCCTTATGACCGTAGCCACATCACTACAATCGTGTGTTCATACTTATGACGGTTGCAGTGTCCCGGGGTCATGTGATCAACTTCTGTGACAAGCAAAGTCAATGGGGAAGCCAGATTCACTTAACAACCAATTGCTAACTTAACAACTGCACTGATTCACTTAACGACTGTGCCAAGAAAGATTGCAAAATGGGGCAAAACTGTCTCATTTAGCAACAGAAATGTTGGCCTCAATTGCGGTCGTTAAGTCCAGGACTACCTGTATTTGGCCCAATATCAAGAGCCTTGGTACTACAGTGGTTTAAAGCACCCTGTTATTAACACAGCTGCCTGCAATTTACTGCTGGTTCGAATCTCTCCAAGGCTCAAGGTTGACTCAGCCTTCCATCCTTTCTAAGGTAGGTTAAATGAGGACCCAGTTTGTGGGGGCAATAAGCTGACTTTGTATAAATATACAAAAGTATGAAGGCTATTGCTTAGCGCACTGTAAGCCGCCCTGAGTCTCCGGAGAAGGGCGGCATATAAATCAAATTAAAAAAAAAAAAAATATTTCTCAATCTCAGCCACTTTCATGTCTGTGGACTACAACTCCCAGAATTCCCACAGCCAGGAGGCAAATCATTTGCTGCCAATCATTTATTCTACAGCAGTGTGTCAAGATTGAAAAGATTTACTTCTTCTGAGCTTCTATCGCTTTTCATCTTGCCAGGAGGAGGGAGGGGAGAAAATGGAATGCTAAGCTTTCATCTTTGGACTGTGAGAACCAAGGTCACTGCTGTAGGTGTTAGACAAAGACATGACCGTTCCCATAACAAAAGGAAATCTTAAAATTGGACTGTGTGAACACTCAGGGATGGAGAGAAAGGGAATCTATTGTTTAACTAAGTGAGCTTTTGCACGGAAAAACCAGAGTTGGTTTTGCTTCTGCAGTTCTGAGATGGTGTATCCAATAAAGTTATATTTTTGGGAATTCAAAGATCCCGAGGGTGTTTACTTCTTTTGGGTTCACTACTTGGGACTGTTGACACAGTAGACTGTAGTTTGTAAATGTTTATGCTATAAGAGAGGGTTTGGTTAAGCTTTGCAGCCCCCCAAAACGGATGATGCTACCGAAATCATTTCTTTACACCAACAACACGTCCAAAATATAAACTGGGGAGGCTCACCATGGCATTGAGCTGAGAGTTGCTGGCCTGAGCGATCCCAAGGAGGTTGGTGGTGTGCATCACCTCGACCGAAAAGCTCGGAAGCCAGCTAGCGATACGAGACCCTGGAGGAGAGAAATCGGAAGATCTCTGAGGGACCCTTCCCATTCATTGTCCTATGTCCGTGATGGCGAACCTGTGGCACGCAGAGCCATATCTATGGGCACGCGAGCATTGCCCTAGCTCAGCTCCAGCGCACATGAATGTGGCAGCCAGCTAATTTTCTGGCCTTCCGGGCCCACCGGAAGTCAGGAAATGGGCCATTTCCAGCCTCTGGAGGGCCTCCGGGGGGCTGGGGAAGGCCGTTTTCGCCCTCCCCAGGCTCCCAAAAAGCCTCTGGAGCCTGGGGAGGGCAAAAAACAGGCCTACTGGGCCCACCGTGCCAGCGCGTGCCAAAAGCGTGGGGGGGTTGCACACGCAGGCGCGGGGCGCATTGAATTATGGGTGTGGGCACGTGTGCACATGACAGACCTCCCCCCCCCGCACTCCCCCTGCTTTTGGCACGCGATGGCAAAAAGGTTAGCTATCACTGACCTATGTTTTCCACATAACTTCATGTATGGAGGGCCAACATTTATTAAGGTAAAGCCCAGTTGACGTTCAAGAAATTTAACGTAAAACAAACGGTTGTTCCCAACTCTATTGAGCTTCAGAAAGTCTGTCATGGTCTCACCGTCTCCCCAGTATTACAGGTATGAATCATGAGAATACTTATATCATAAATGGCCCTGTCCTCTGGAATATTCTCTCGTCACAGGTGAGATCCCACCCCTCCCTCCCCCAGCCTTCCAGAAGAATCTGGCTCTTCCGCTTGGCCTGGGCCCCTGACGGGGTCCCACTACATTAGGGCTGGCTGACGGAAGAGAGAAATTTCTCAGGCACTCAGGCTGCTGCCTGTCATCTTGGTTTTTAATTTTAATTTTTAGGTTTTTATTGTGATTTTGTTTTTAAATAAAGTTACATCCGAAGCCACCTTATTAGTAAGATGCAAAATTCGAGGGAGGGAGGGAGGGAGGGAGGGAGGAAGGAAGGAATAGTGGGAGGGAGGGGGAAAAGATGGATGAATGGAAAAGAGAAGTAGGGAAAAAGGATGGAGGGAGGGAGGGAGGGAGGAAGAAAGGAAGGAGAGGAAATAGTGGGAGGGAAGGAAAAAAGATGGATGAATGGAAAAAGAGAAGTAGGGAAAAAGGATGGGTGGATGGAAAAAGGGAGGGAGGGAGGGAGGGAGGGAGGGAGGGAGGGAGGAAGGAAGGAAGGAAGGAAGGAAGGAAGGAAGGAAGGAAGGAAGGAAGGAAGGCAGGCAGGCAGGATGGCAGGCAGGCAGGCAGGCAGGCAGGCAGGCAGGCAGCAGGAAGGAAGGAAGGAAGGAAGGAAGGAAGGAAGGAAGGAAGGAAGGAAGGATGGATATTTGTAGCTCAGGATTGAGATGAGGGGTCCTTGGTGCTCTCAGAGATTGGTTGTTTTTCTTGTAGACCTTTCAGATGTTTCATTACTCAAATTGAACTGATGAGATTACCTCGTTTGGGGAAAGAAATGTCTACAAGAAAACAGCCAAGCTCAAAGAGCACCAAGGACTCCTCAAATAAATAAATAAATAAATCGCATGGACCAAATATTTGTACGTCAATTCCCCACAACTCTTCATCAGACGTAAAGAGAGCAGGACCAGGCAAGTTGCTGAATCTTAATAGCGCAGATATTCCGGGCCACTGAAGATGCTTGACTTGAACTCACCATCAAAGTGGAAGAAGTGATTGTGCTGGTTGAGATGAGGTCTTCCTTCGGCTGCTGCCACAGGGGGCAAGTTTTCATCCAGGTTCTCTCTTGGGTGATCCTCTGGAGCTTGCTGGTTGTCCGCAATATTCAGTGACATCCTACAGGTCGGGCAGGAGGTGTCTTGCTCGAGCCAGGAGCGCAGGCATGAGCTAAGAATAAAGCGAGAAATTTATATGGATTTTTATGAGTAAAATGAGAACCCAGATTGTTAGGGCAAGAGGCTGACTCTGTAAACCGCTTAGACAGGGCTGGAAAGCACTACGAAGCGGTATATAAATCTAAGTGCTATTGCCCTTCCTCCCTCCCTTCTTTCCTTCCTTCCATCCATCCATCCATCCATAGTTTACAGAGGTTAGAATGCAATATTGCAGGCTGACTCTGCCCACTGCCAGAAGTTCAATCCTGACCAGCTCAAGGTTGACTCAACCTTCCATCCTTCTGAGGTCAGTAAAATGAGGGCCCAGATTGTTGGGAGAAATAGACTGACTCTGTAAACCACTTAGAGAAGGCTTTAAAGCACTCTGAAGCTGTATATAAGTCTAAGTACTATTGCTATTGCCCTTCCTTCCTTCCTTCCTTCCTCCTTCCTTCCTTCCTTCCTTCCTTCCTTCCTTCCTTCCTTCCTTCCTCCTCCCTCCCTCCCTCCCTCCCATCCATCCATCCATCCATCCATCCATCCATCCATCCAATATTGCAGGCTGACTCTGCCCAATGCCAGCAGTTCGATCCTGACCGGCTCAAGATTGACTCAGCCTTCCATCCTTCCGAGCTGGGTAAAATGAGGACCCAGATTGTTGGAGGCAAAAGGATGACTCTGTAAACCGCTTAGACAGGGCTGTAAAACACTGTGAAGTGGTATATAAGTCTGTGCTATTGCTATTGCTCTTCCTTCCTTCCTTCCTTCCTTCCTTTTTCCTTCCTTCCATCCATCCATCCATCCATCCATCCATCCATCCATCCATCCATCCATGACATGCAGTGGTTAGAATGCAGCATTGCAGGCCAAATGATAAAGCAACATATAGATTTAAAACCAGAAATATTTTTGTTAGGTATACCAGAAAACTATAACAAAGGGAATATGTATTTAATATTACATGTGTTGACAGCAGAGAGAATTGTATTTGCACAATATTGGAGGAATGAGGATACTCCTACAGATGAGAAGATAATTGAAAAGATATTAGACTATGCAGAGATGGATAGATCGACGCTAAAAATAAAGGACAAGGAAGAAACAGAATACTTCCTAACATGGGATGCGTTTTACCAGCGGTTAGATAACAGAAGTAGAAATTAGAAGATAAAAGATTGTTACTATGTACAATAATGAATGATTATTATTATATAAAAATAAAAAAATACAATTATTATTGTAATTATTATTATTAATATTGGATTGTATAAATGTCCAATATTAGACAATGCGATGTTCACTAAGCACGTATGTTGATTAAAATTAAAAAAAAATAAAAAATATGAAAATATAAAAGAAGAGTTGGACTTGGACCCTTTGTGGGAACGTAACAACTCTAGGCTCATGACTTGTTTAACTCCACCCTCAGCTCTGCCTATTCTTCTCCTACATCACGGGTGTCAACTCAAGGCCCGGGGGCCGAATCCAGCCCACAGGGTGCTTAGATCTGGCTCGCGGAGCTGCCTGGAAACAGTGTCTCTGCCAGCGAAAACGGAGCTCGGGAGACCCGCGGGTGGCCCTTCCAAGCTGTTTTCGCTGACAGACGGTTGCAGGAGACGGTTGCAGCCAAAAACAGAGCTCGGGAGCCCCTTTTCGCTGGCAGAAGCGCTCGGGCCACCACAGGTGCCCCCGACACGAGTGAGGGTGAGCTGGCCACACCCACCCTGGCAATGCCCCCACCACCCGCCCCCCAAGGTCAAACACAACCCTGATGCGGCCCTCAGTGAAATCGAGTTTGACCCCCCCTTGTCCTACATTAGGTTCATCTCCCAAGGAAAGAAATCATTCCTTTCAAAGTACTTGGAAAAACAAGGCTGAAGGGGTGGAGCCAGGCTTCTCAAGGGAACGCAAACGCTGGCAAGTAGAAGCTAATTATCTTATTAGATCCTGCTTAAAACACTGGCAAATATTTATGGCGCAGCTTGCAATGAATGACAACAAAGTGGCCTTGAGACCAGAATGGGAAAAGCAGGAGAAGAATCCATCAAAATCGCACACTCTTGCTGACTTCAAACCTTTAGGTTGGGTTTACACAACGCACGGGAATGGCAATTTTGGCCAAGTCACACACAAAACCTTTGCAGAAACTCAAGACTTTCTCTGTTGACGGGAGACCCGTTAAAATACATTATTAAGTGGCCAAATCTCAGCTCAATGTTCCTGCTCAAACTTTCAGAATAGTTCAGATTAAAAACAAGAAAACTTTGCAACATTTCACTCCAGGATACCAACATCCTGTAAGATTTTAGTTGAGAATATGGAAACCTTCCAAGGTTTGGAGATGAGAATGAAAGTACATATTACAATAAATGATTTTGGATGTATGCATGGATAGATAGATAGATAGATAGATAGATAGATAGATAGATAGATAGATGATAGAGAGAGAAATAGATAGGTAGGTAGGTAGATGATAGAGAGAGTAATAGATGGATGGATGGATGGATGGATGGATGGATGGATGGATGGATGGATGGATGGATAGATAGAGATTGATATTGATTGATTGATAGATAGATAGATAGATAGATAGATAGATAGATAGATAGATAGATAGATGAGAGAGAGGGGGGGGTAGATAGAAATAGACGATAATTGATCTTATGACCACATCAAAATAATAAAATAAAATAAAATAAAATAATGAAATGAAGTGAAGTGAAATAATAATAAAATACCGTAAAATAAAATAAAATAATAAAATAAAATAATAATAAAATAACAAAACAAAACAAAACAAAACAAAACAAAACAAACAAATAAAATAAAATAAAATACAGGATCTAACTCCAGGGCAAAACACATAAAAGAAAATACAGTAACAAAAGTACGTGGTAAATACAAAGAAATAACATTCAGATAAATACCTCACTTTTACAAGGATACCCCAATCTGATTTTGGAGGTCTCTAGGGAAACTGGCGGCATCATGCAAAACTGATTCATTTATATTCAGTGCACACCGTTAAATTTATCAAGATGGACAGCAGTTCACAGCAATCCAATAAAATGTCCATACAGGCAGAGCTCGACATACGGCCATAACGGAGCCTACTGTCCCCCCAGGGCTTACTTATGGAAGAGGTGGCCGCAAGGGAGCTTCCGGGCAGCCTGCATGGAATCCCAGCAAATGGCACAGTCATCGTTGTTGGAGGCCAATTCTTCAGGAGTTGCCACTGCAAACCTAGGAAAAGCCAAGAGAGACGAGACACCAAGGTGAGCTAGATTATCAATTCAGGAACCCATAACTGCAGGTAGTTCTCGACCACAATTGGGAAAAGAATATCCCTTGCTACGCAAGGCAGTTGTTAAGCGAATTACACCTGATCATATCGCCATTTTTTGCCACGGTTAAGCAAATCACTGCAGACGTTAAGTGGATCGTACAGTCATTAAACGAACCCAGCTTCCCCCATGGACTTTGCTTGTCGAAAAGCTGGCTAGGAAGGTTGAAAATGGCGATCAAAAGACCCCAGGATGCTACAATCTGGCTTGTAAACACCGGCCAGTTGCCATGAGCCCAAATTTTGATCACACGAACATGGGGATGCTGCGACGGTCACAAGTGCCCTTGTCACCTCTCGCCTGGACTATTGCAACGCTCTCTACATGGGGCTCCCCTTGAGGAGCACCCGGAGGCTCCAACTGGCGCAGAGTGCGGCCGCGCGGGTGGTAATGGGAGCGACATGGCGTTCCCATGTAACACCTCTCCTGCGCGAGCTGCACTGGCTCCCGGTGGTCTTCCGGGTGCGCTTCAAGGTTTTGGTTACCACCTTTAAAGCGCTCCATGGCTTAGGACCCGGGTACTTGCGGGACCGCCTACTACCACCAATAGCCTCCCACCGGCCGGTACGCTCCCATAGAGAGGGGCTCCTCCGGGTGCCGTCAGCCAAACAATGCCGGCTGGCGGCCCCCAGGGGGAGAGCCTTCTCTGTGGGGGCACCTACTATCTGGAACGAGCTCCCCCCAGAGATACGGAGGATCCCGGATCTGCGCACCTTCCGCCGCGCCTTAAAGACCTTACTATTTCACCAGGCCGGCCTGGCCTAATTTTCCCCCCCTTTTATAAAAGATTTTTAAAATTTTAAATATTTTTTAGTATTTATATATTCAATTTTAAATTGGTTTTAAAAGTTTGGGGTTTTAAATCTGTCGGGGCCAAAATTATTTAATTTGATTTTATTCTATTTTTTAAATTTTGTATTGTATGTGTTTTTATTGTTTGGCTGTGCACCGCCCTGAGTCCTTCGGGAGTAGGGCGGTATAGAAATCTAATAAATAATAATAATAATAAATAATAAAGTGTGGGGACTGAGTCGAAGTCCATTTTTTTCAGTGCCTTTGAACGTAACTTTGAACGGTCACTAAATGAATGGCTGTAAGTCAAGGCCTACCTGTAATTCACTAAATAAAGGCATAGTGGACAAACCACGCTAAAACCATGTTCTAAAGAGGAATTATTGAGCCTTCATTTGTATTTTTATAACTGCCTGGTTTGGCACAGGAACCAAACAAGACGGGTACAGTCTTCAAGGGATAGTTAAAGTAAAGGTAAAGGTTCCCCTCGCACATATGTGCTAGTCGTTCCCTGACTCTAGGGGGAGTCTAAAAGGTTCGCTATCACTGATCTATAGCATCATCCTGAGGGTAGGAGTTGAAACAATTTATGTCCAGGATGTGAGGGGTCTGTAAATATTTTCTCAGCCCTCTTTCTGACCCGTGTAGTACACAGGTCCTCAATGGAAGGCAGCCTAGTCGCAATTCTTTTTTCTGCAGTCCTAACTATCCCTTCAGACACAGTGGTTCAGTGGCTAAGATGCTGAGCTTGTCGATCGAAAGGTCAGCAGTTCAGCGGTTCAAATCCCTAGTGCCACGTAACGGGGTGAGCTCCCGTTCCTTGTCCCAGCTTCTGCCAACCTAGCAGTTCGAAAAGCAGGTAAAAAAAATGAAAGTAGAAAAATAGGGACCACCTTTGGTGGGAAGGGAACAGTGTTCCGTGCGCCTTTGGCATTGAGTCATGCCGGCCACATGACCACGGAGACGTCTTCAGACAGCGCTGGCTCTTCGGCTTTGAAACGGAGATGAGCACCATCCCCTAGAGTCGGGAACGACTAGCACATACATGCGAGGGGAACCTTTACCTTTACCTTATTGGTATCTTATGATTGATCACTTTGTTGCTTGTATGCCCACTGAGAGCTTATGCACCAGAGACAAATTCCTTGTGTCTCTAATCACCCTCGGACAATAAAGAATATTGTATTGTGTTGTAATTATTTTGCAGTTATGGTGAAGGTCACCCCAATTCCCCCAAAGAGCATAAGTATGAGACACATGTGGGGGGGGTCATTGTTTCTTGGTCTAGAATTAAAGGAAGAAGCTCACCTGGCTTCCATGTTTCCAACCACCCGCAGGTAATTCTTATGGCGCCGCAGCCTGCGCTGAACTTCATGGAACAGGTAACGCAGCTGCATGAAGATCACCAGACTGGCCATCGACAGCCAAATGTTGCCAAACAGCTTCCAAATATATTTTTTCCCAAGAAGAGCAGGAAAGCAAATCACCGTTGCGAGAGAAAGAACACAAATAAAGAAAAGAGAATTATTTCACGAGGCCAGGCCAAACCTTCTTCAACAAAGCGTTTATCCTATTCAGGACACAGATACTTTTAAGGGAACTTTTGATTCCCACAAATGGACAAATGGTTGCAGAAGCTGACGGAGTTAGCAGAGATGGCTAAATTGACTTTTTCTGATTAAAGAAAAGAACACCAATACTTTTGTTTCTACTGGGAAACCGCTTCTGGACTTTGTACTTGAGGTGCGGTGGAAAAAATGCATCTTTAATTTTGGGTTTTACCGATTAGATAGATTTGTTGTTATAGAAACGGCTACTTTATACTATTATGTAAAAGTAAAAAGTTGAGATTTGGTGTTATCTTATTCTACTGCACCAAAGGGAGTCTTTCTTTTTTTTTCTCTTTTCCCTGCACTTTTCCCTCCCCCTCGGCCTCTCCTGTTTTTCCTCCTATTTTCTTTTGTATTTTTGTATTTTATATTACAGATTAATTTTAGAAAAGGACACAATTCTCAGCTGGAACCTGCAACATGCAGTCCAAAACTTTCAAGAAATTTTTTTTTTTTTTTGCTTTCGAGCCTTAACAGATATAAACTGCTTGTGGATTCTCTTTCAGATTATTATTTTCAAAGCAACATAAAGGAAGCCCTACTACTTGCAGTGTATGGCCACCATTGAGCCCCAATTTTCCATTGCTAAGTGAGACATCTGTTAAGTGAATCAAATCAACTCGCGATGGCCAATGCGCCGTGGCCAACTTAACCATGGCCAACTCGCTGCCTGACAATTCAACAATTCAATTTAATTAAGCTGCTGATGCAGTTCTACAGAGGAATTATTGAGTCTGTCATCTGCACCTCTGTAACTGTCTGGTTTGGTTCTGCGACCAACAAGACAAGACTCAGACTTCAGAGGATAATTAGAACTGCAGAAAAAACAATGGCTACCAAGCTGCCTTCCATTGAGGACTTGTATACTGCACGAGTCAAAAAGAGGGCTGTGAAAATATTGACAGATCCCTCGCATAAACTGCTTCAACTCCTACCCTCAAAACGACGCTATAGAGCATTGCACACCAAAACAACTAGATACAAGAACACGTTTTTCCCAAATGCCATCACTCTGCTAAACAAATAATTCCCTCAACACTGTCAAACTATTAAGGCTGCACTACTATTAATCTTCTCACCGTTCCTATCATCCATCTCCTCCCACTTATGACTGTATGACTGTAACTTGTTGCTGTATCCTTACGATTATATTGTTTCCTAGTATGATTTGACTGCTTATTTGTACCCTATGACTATCATTAAGCATTGTACCTTATGATTCCTGACGAATGTATCTTTTCTTTTTATGTACGCTGAGAGCATATGCACCAAAGACAAATTCCTTGTGTGTCCAATCACACTTGGCCAATAAAGAATTCTATTCTATTCTATTCTATTCTATTCTATTCTATTCTATTCTATTCCATTCCATTCCATTCCATTCCATTCCATTCTTTCTGTTCTCTACTGTATTCTACTGTACTCTACTCTACTGTACTCTACTCTACTCTACTCTAGTCTAGTCTATTCTTATTATTTGAAATAACTAAAATATTATTCTAATACTTGTCATTCACATTTCATTTTCTCCCTCCTTCGGCATCCTTTCTTTAATGATTCTGCTGCACTATTTCTTCTATACGAGTGTAACTTTCGTCCCTCGGAGAGTTGGCTGCAGCGAGTTGGCCGTAGCTAGCTGTCACACACCTGCCCAACATGGGGACTCACAAAACAATTTATTAAACCTTTATACCAGCATGTGAATGTGATGCATCAAATCCAGGGACAGCAGCATCAGCTCCATGATGAAATCGGTGTAATAAACATAGGTGCCTTTGCTCTCCCAGGTGCCTTCGTGATTCAGATCCCAGAGATGAATGATGTAACTGGGTGAAAGGAGAGAAAGAAATCCTGCCTTGATTTCCCCTGCCAGTTCTATGGGGAAGAGAGCAGCAGCAAAAGTTTTACTGCTAACAGGTGCTAATGTCCATAAAAGGAGGAGATTTGTAGCACGGGGTTGAAATGAGGGGCCCTTGGTGCTTTCTGGACTGGGTTAGTTTCTTGTAGACGTTTCATGACCCAACTAGTTAACATCATCAGGGCTAGAAGGGAATGGGATTTGTAGACAGCAGGAGGAGGAGGGGGCAGGAGGAGGAGAAGGAGAAGGAGAAGGAGAAGGAGGAAAAGGAGGAGGAGGAAAAGGAGGAGGAGGAGGAGGAGGAGGAGAAGGAGGTTGCAGAAAAAAATGCTTTGAAAAGCCTCTGACGATCCCAGCTGAGCCGCGTGATCATCAGAGGCTTTTTTTTTTATTTTTAAAAGCATTTTTTCATTGGAAGAGGTTGTAGAAAAAATGCTTTTAAAAGTTAAAAAAAAAGCCTCTGATGATCGCGCAGCTCAGCTGGGCATGGTGGGGGGGAGGGCAGGGATTTTTGCCTCCGAACCACCCGCCACCATCGCTACCGGATCGGGCGATCCGGTCTGAACCAGGAGCATTTCACCCCTGCACTGAACCAGAGCTGAAGAAGCTTCCTGGATGAGAAGCGAAACGTCTTCAAAGAAAAACCAGAAAGTCCAGTTGCCTCTTGAAAAAAAAGCACTTTTGGGACACTGAACCAGCGTTTCCCAATCTTAGCAATTTTAAGATATATGGGCTTCAACTCCCACAATTCCCCAGCCATCATGCTGAATGCCATTTTAATCATATTTTTCGTGTTTTATGTTTGAATGACTCCCTTCTACATTGCGAAACTCACTTTTACTGCATTTCTGGAAGGTGTTGAGAATTACCCGCAAGCTCACAAAGGCAAAAGTCAACCAACACAAAAGAACACCACCACAAAATAACCACCTTCATCCTTAGGCCAGATGAATGACAACCTGACCTTGCGGTCACACCCATTTTGTTAAGGAAATCCTACACAACCTGTTCAACGTGGATATCGCGCTTACCGTAAAATCACATGCACGGTTCTTACGGTGACCAGCAGGGACTGCAAAGGGACAAAAGAATGCGACAATCATTCTCTGAAGCTGGAGCGGTTGCCACAAAAACAAGTAAACAGCTTTTCCAGTCCTACGAGTTTAAATATCCTTTCTGCATTCCGCAATTGGCAATGGCCAAGATCAGAAAAAGATTAAGTTACAGAAACTATAGATCTGTCTGATCTCCGACACTTGCAGGGTTTTGTAGGTTTTTTGCACACACATACACACACACAAAAACATCAAAATATCAGAGTAGCTTTGCTTTGTAAGATACAAACTTTGGAAAATATTTTTACAAAAATGAGTAAAATCTATTTATACCTCACAGGAAGCACAAATAGAACTAACAAGGCCCTGTGAGATATGAAAGTTGTTGTTGTTAGTTGCGAAGTCGTGTCCGACCCATCGCGACCCCATGGACAAGGTTCCTCCAGGCCTTCCTGTCCTCTACCTTCCCCCGGAGACCATTTAAGTTCACGCCTACTGCTTCAGTGACTCCATCCAGCCACCTCGTTCTCTGTCGTCCCCTTCTTCTTTTGGCCTCAATCGTTCCCAGCATTAGGCTCTTCTCCAGTGAGTCCTTCCTTCTCATTAGGTGGCCAAAATATTTGAGTTTCCTCTTCAGGATCTGGCCTTCTAAAGAGCAGTCAGGGTTGATCTCCTCTAGGACTGACCGGTTTTGATCATGTGAGCATGGGGATGCTGCCATGGTCGTACGTGTGAAACTTGGTCATAAGTCACTTTTTTTTCAGTCACGCTGTAACTTTGAATGGTCACTAAGTGAAACTGTTATAAGTTAAGAACTACCTGTACTAATTCAGATTTTATTAGTTTACACAGTAGGACAGTTTGCAGAATTTTGTTTTTAATTCAGTGTCTTTGAGAGAGAAACCTAACGCTGAATCTATGGACAATTTACAAGAGGAAAGTAAAAAGGACGAGTAATATGTAACAGAAAATATTATTAAGTATTAATCATATTAAGTTAACTTGAAAGAGGAAACTGAATATTTTTAACTCTGCTAAACAGGAAAAGCTTGCAAATCCTATGAAGGACAGGCTCAAAATGCAAACTAAAGAACTACAGGTAGACCTCGACTTACGACCACAATTGAGGTCCCAAAATTTCTGTTGCTAAGCAAGACATGTGTTAAATTAACCTTGCCCCGTTCTGCCATCTTCCTTGCCAGAGTTGTTCAGTGAATCACCGCAGTTGTTAAATTAGTAACACAGTTGTTAAGTGAATCTTTCTTCCCCATTCGACTTTGCTGGTCAGGAGGTCGCAAAAGGGGATCACAGTGACCCTGGGGACACTGCGACCGTCGTAAATATGAGCCAGTTGCCAAGCGTCTGAATTGTGACCATGTGACCGTGGAGATGCTGCAATGGTCGTTAAGTGTGAAAAAAGTCGTAAGTTTATTTTTTTTCAGTGCCGTCGTAACTCTGAACAGTCATGAAAGGAAATGTTGTAAGTCGAGAACTACCTGTATATTTTTTTTAAAAAAACCTTTAAAAAAATAAAGACAGATTACGTTTAATGAAGGGCCGTTCAGAACAATCCATTGCTACTTAGGATCTCTGCCATGACTATCCTCATGCCAAAAAAAGAGAGCTGGGGGTCATCACAATGACACACCAGACACAAGAAAGGAATGTGATGTCACTGCAAAAAGACGCAGGTATTTAATGGGTCCCGTCAAACAAGCCAAGGGGCTAAAATAGACAAGGTCTCCAGGAACTTGCTAAAGCTTAGCTGCATAACCAACTTCCAGGAACACAAAGAGCTGGAAATTGTAAATCAGATGCAGACAATCCCAATTATTTATAGATTTTTTTGATAGGTGCCAAATAAAGAATCGAAGGACTATGTGGTTTCTACGTTTCCATGTAGATTCTAAGCAGTGCAAGTTTGATTCGGCCTTCCATCCTTCCGAGGTGGGTAAAATGAGGACCCAGATTGTTGAGGGCCAGAGGCTGACTCTGTAAAACCGCTTAGAGAGGGCTGTAAAAACACTGTGAAGTGGAATATAAGTCTAAGAGCTATTGCCCTTCCTTCCTTCCATCCATCTATCCATCCATCCATCCATCCATCCATCCATCCAATATTGCAGGCTGACTCTGCCCACTGCCAGCAGTTCGATCCTGACCAGCTCCAGGTTGACTCAGCCTTCCATCCTTCCGAGGTGGGTAAAATGAGGACCCAGATTGTTGGGGGCCAGAGGCTGACTCTGTAAACCGTTTAGAGAGGGCTGTGAAGCTGTATATAAGTCTAAGTGCAATTGCTATTGCCCTTCCTTCCTTTCTTCCTTCCTCCCTCCCTCCCTCCTTCTCTCCCTTCCCTTCCCTATCCATCCATCCATCCATGGTTTGCAATGGCTAGAATGCGGTATTGCAGGCTAACTCTGCCCACTGCCAGGCGTTTGACCCTGACCAGCTCAAGGTTGCCTCGGCCTTCCATCTTTCCAAGGTGGGTAAAATAAGGATCCAGATTGTTGGGGGCAAGAGGCTGGCTCTGTAACCCGTTTAGAGAGGTCTATAAAGCACTGCGAAGCTGTATATAAGTCTAAGGGCTATTGCAATTACTAGTTTGTAGAAAGGGAGGCCAAGTTAATAGCCTATAAATCTGTTGAAACCTTTTAACCTTTGTAGTAGGCCAAATATGGGAGCTATGCCGGTACCGAGCTTCGGGTATCAATTTAATTTATAATTACGTAATTATAAGGATGAGAGTTGAAACTTTGAAGCGTATGCCTCCTGTGCTTACCCGTGAGAGGCTGGGAGGGGAATGTTCCTAGCTCGCAAATGCTGTAATCTTGAACTGATTATATAAACAGCATTAAGACAGGCAGACCAATCTGTTCTTGAAAAGAAGCTACGTCTTCCAATGATTCCAATCCAGCTTGTTTGAGCTTTGCTCCATAGACCGTGACTTGCTCAGTAGACCGAGTGTTGAATCCAGCAGAAAATCACTCAAGCATTGAGCAAAAGAGTAATAGCAAGAGCAATCACACTTAAGACTTATATACCGCTTCACGGTGCTTCTACGCCCTCTCTAAGCAGTTTACAGAGTCAGCTTCTTGCCCCCAATAATCTGGATCCTCATTTTACCAACTCGGAAGGATGGAAGGCTGAGTCAACCTTGAGCCGGTCAGGATTGAACTGCTAGCAGTGGGCAGAGTTAACCTGCAATACTGGATGGATGGATGGATGGATGGATGGATGGATGGATGGATGGATGGAAGGAAGGAAGGAAGGGCAAAAGCAATAGCCCCTAGACTTATATACCACTTCACAGTGCTTTCCAGCCCTCTCTAAGCGGTTTACAGAGTCAGCCTCTTGCCCCCAACAATCTGGGTCCTTGTTTTACCAACCTCGGAAGGATGGAAGGCTGAGTTAACCTTGCGCCAGCGACATTTCCAACATTTAGCAGACATATTCTTAAACATTTTTGCTAGTTTTGGCGGTGGCAAATGACACCTATAGAACATTTTATACAGGTTTTCCTTACAATAGCCGCCCAGAGTCCCTTGAGAGTTGGGCGGCATAGAAATGCGACAAAACAAATAAATAAATAAATAAATTAGTTGCCATTGTCAATTTGTAATTTCTATCCTGCATAAATATTTTTTTTTTTAAATATAGAGGAATGGAACTCAACAGGGGGGGGAAAAAATGAAGCTCGATAAACCAGAAAGCCTAAAACCTAGGTGATTTAACCAGGAATCTCACCTCCGCCGCCATGAAGGATAGGGTGTGCATTCCGTGTGCGTAGCCAATGATGCCGCACACCACTGCGAGGCCACAGCAGGAAAGCAGCATGACAACCAGCAGCGTCAGGACCCGAATGTGGCTGTTTAACGGGGTGGTAGGTGAAAAAGACAGCTGAAAAATACCAACACGTAAGTTAGAAAGTGCCCGCCACTCATTCTGACCACCAGCATTCTTAGCTGAGACTCTTCAGAAGGTTCAGGAGAAGATCTCCGCGACTTGCCTTTAAGGAAATCTGGTGAACAGTTTCAAATTAGCAGATTCCCTGTCCTTAAAGAGGCACCCCTAAGAATAACACAAGAGCCAGGTGGATCTGGCCCAGTGGTGGAATTCAATTTTTTTTACTACCGGTTCTGTGGGCGTGGCTTGGTGGGCATGGTGTGGCTTGGTGGGTGTGGCAGGGGAAGGATACTGCAAAATCTCCATTCCCTCCACACGCCTGGGGGAAGGATACTGCAAAATCCCCATTCCCTCCGCACTTCTGGGGGAAGGATACTGCAAAATCCCCATTCCCACCCCACTCCAGGGGAAGGATATTGCAAAATCTCCATTCCCACCCCACTCTGGGGCCAGCCAGAGCTGGTATTTGTCAGTTCTCTGAACTACTAGACTAGACTAGAACAGTGATGGCGAACCTTTTTGCCATCGCGTGCTAGGAGTGGGGTAGGGGGGAGGTCATGTGTGCGACGCCTCCTGCTCCCTCTCCCTCCCCCCGCTCCTGGCATGCAATGGCCCGTTTTTCTCTCTCTCTAAGCTTCAGAGCCTTTCTAGGAGCTTGGGGAAGGCGAAAACGCCCCCCTCCCCGCAGAGGCCCTCCGGAGGCAGGAAATGGGCCGTTTGTCAACTTCAGGTCCAACCGGAAGTTGGCAAACGGCCCATTTCCTGCCTCCGGAGGGCCTCCGGGGGTGGGGGAGGCTGTTTTCGCCCTCCCCAAGCTTCTAGAAAGGCTCTGGAGCCTGAGGAGAGAGAAAAATGGGCCTTCCCCACCACCGCCCCAAGGCCCTCCAGAGGCAGGAAACAGGCTGTTTCCTTACTTCCAGTGGGCCCAGAAGGCCCGAAAATCAGCTGGCGCATGCAGGAGCTGAGCTCATGTGCCGTCTGACATGGCTACACATGCCACCGGTGGCACGTGTGCCATAGGTTCGCCATCACAGGACTAGAAAATCTCCAAGGTCCCTTCCAAGTCTATTCTATTCTATTCTATTCTATTCTATTCTATTCTATTCTATTCTACTCTACTCTACTCTACTCTACTCTACTCTACTCTACTCCACTCCACTCCACTCCACTCCACTCCACTCCACTCCACTCTCCATTCCTATTCCCATTCCCATTCCCATTCCCATTCCCATTCCCATTCCATTCCATTCCATTCCATTCCATTCCATTCCATTGAATTCCATTCCATTCCATTCCATTCTATTCTATCTTTCTGGCAGGGCACCCAAATTCGTGGCCCATTTCACGTACAAAATAAAACTGATTCTTGCACCCTAAAATATCCAACTTCAATGACCTGAGTGACAAATTGCTGATAGGGTCTCTCCCTTGCCCAGGTACATGGAGAAATATACTTACATATTCAAACCTATCCTTGCAAAGCTGAACCATGAGATGTAAGAAGACGAGTCCAGAAAACCAGAGGCACCACATGATCACTTCGTCCACGGTCTGGACATTTAACACCCCAAATATAAAAATAAACTTGTAGAAGATGAAGTTCCAGAACTTATCCTTGAGATGCTGAAAAAGAGATTTGCACATACGGTAGTTATTATTCTTGTTTTTAAAGGTCACTCTATGCATTGTGAACTATTATGCAATAGGATAAGCTATAATATTGCATAACTATTATGCAATAGGATAAGTTATAATTGGGTTATTAATTGGTGGAGGGGTATTTAACTAAACTGCAGGTGGATAGTCATGTATAATTCACTTAAGGTTTATTCTAAAATTAAAACATAACCGCTTTTGTTTTTGAACATTTTTTGAACTTTTTTTCTTTAAAGAGAAAATATACTGAGCAGCCGTTTTTGGAAAAAAAAAAACCTGTTTTTTTGGAACCGCACCTAAAAATTAAAATTGTTGCTCTCAGGGGCTCAGATAACAAAAGTAGGTGAAGATGCCCATTAAAGAGAAATAATTTAATGAATATCGTTCACCCATCACTCATCATACGTTGGAAATATGGAAATAACTTAATGGTCAGGCCAACCCAACATTCTTACCTGCCTTTCACTAACACGAAGGGGACCAAAAACTATGGTCTGTATTAGCTTTGCTATCAGCATCAGAATGCAACAGGCTGTATTCACCAACACCTGGAAAAAATAAAACAAAACAGAAGAATTAGAATTAGAATTGTGATGTATTGACTTCATGCCCCACCCATCTCACTATCAAGCAACTTTTGAATAGAGCAGAATCTCACTATCGAGTAGAGTAGAGTAGAGTAGAAATAAGAATGGAATAGAATGGAATGGAATGGAATGGAGTGGAGTGGAATGGAGTGGAGTGGAGTGGAGTGGAGTGGAGTGGAGTGGAGTGGGGTGGAGTGGAATGGAATGGAATGGAATGGAATGGAATGGAATGGAATAGAATAGAATAGAATAGAATAGAATAGAATAGAATAGAATAGAACAGAACAGAACAGAATAGAAAATAGGATAGGATAGGATAGGATAGGATAGGATAGGATAGGATAGGATAGGATAGGATAGGATAGGATAGGATAAATAGAATAGAATAGAATAGAATAGAATAGAATAGAATAGAAAATAGGATAGGATAGGATAAATAGAATAGAATAGAATAGAATAGAATAAGAATAGGATAAATAGAATAGAATAGAATAGAATAGAATAGAATAGAATAGAATAGAATAGAATAGAATAGAATAGAACAGAACAGAACAGAATAGAAAATAGGATAGGATAGGATAGGATAGGATAGGATAGGATAGGATAGGATAGGATAGGATAGGATAGAATAGGATAAATAGAATAGAATAGAATAGAATAGAATAGATAGAATAGAAAATAGGATAGGATAGGATAGGATAGGATAGGATAGGATAGGATAGAATAGAATAGAATAGAATAGAATAGAATAGAATAGAATAGAATAGAATAGAATAAAAAATAAAATAGGATAGGATAGGATAGGATAGGATAGGATAGGATAGGATAGGATAGGATAGGATAGGATAGGATAGAATAGAATAGAATAGAACAGAACAGAACAGAACAGAACAGAACAGAATAGAATAGAATAGAATTTACTTGCCAAATAATTTCCTTTCAGACATTTGGGACAAAATGTAATGCCCACTTAGGACAGCAGGCTGTGGAAGATGGGAACTCATAACTACTAACTTTAATACAGCACCAATTCAAAATCTTTAACCCAAATGATGTGCAACAAACGAAGCAAACATAAGAACAATAAAAGCCCTATTAATGCACACATCATTATTTAAAAGATTTCAAACAAGAGCTAATCCATAGTTATGAGACTTAAGTAATTAACAAGGAGCTATAATTCTGATTTGCATACTGTAGACCTACACCTTCTTGTCTGTCACTTTTTATGACATTTATTCATAACGTCTGAGTCACCATCTAGCTTTTAATTTTTTCACAGTGATTTATTCTGGAGTTCACAACATGACATGGCTTTGATGTCAATAGCAGAAGTCAGGCAATGGAAAAATCTGATACAAGCCAAAATAGGCTTTTAAGTAGATCTGACTAATTCGACTACACACAGGGTAGATAAAAATCAATGATTCTTTTAAAAAAAAATTTAAAAAATCAGATTTTTTTGATTTAAATCGGATTTTTTTGATTTAAATCGGATTTTTTTGATTTAAATCGAATTTATTTTAATAAAAAACTTTTGGGGTAAAAATCTATCCTAAGATAGTTTTCTATTTAAGATACATCAATAATTTAGTTTATTCAGCATGAAATGGAGCTTAGTTATGTAGCATGAGGCTGTGTATTCTGCAACACTGGGACTATCGGTGAGTCAACAGCGGGTCAAAGGAGTAGCAGAGATGACAGTTGCTCTTTAAAAATTATGATTTAAATCGAGTTGATTTAAATCAAGCCTTTTTACTAGTGATTTAAATCATGATTTAAATTGTGATTTAAATCGACTCGATTTAAATCAAATCCACCCTGGCTACACATAAGGAAGTCACTCATCCTAATCATTATTTCTCGCAACCTGAGAACCCTTCGCACAAACCTTTGCTGAGCAAAGTTTAAAAACAACCCTATAGCTGACATTCACCTAAAAATCTGAGAACCATCCTAAAGAAAATTATCCTACGAACAAAGGGACCTTCTGTTCACAATCCTCATCCAAAAATCCACTAATCCCGTAATGGCGAACCTATGGCACACGTGCCAGAAGTGGCACGCAGAGCTATCTCCCCGGGCACACGAACTCTTCTGGGTTCCAGTGCGCTGGCCAGCTGGTGTTCACGTGCGTGGGAATGCCAGAAGAGCAGCTGCCCGGCGCGCATGCATGCACACGCTGGGTGGCTGCTCTTTCGGTTTCTAGCACACATACGCGCGAAGACCAGCTGGCCAGGGCGCACGCATGTACCAGAAACTGGAAGAGCAGCCGCCCAGCACGCACATGCACACCAGGTAGCTGCTCTTCCAGTTTCCGGCACGCGCTCCCGTTTCGGAACTCGGTGCCGAAAAGGTTCGCCAACACTGCCCTAATCCCTTACATATTGGCAAAAATATGCAAGACTTTTGAACATGAAATCAAATGAAGTTGATTTCAAAAACCTTCCATAATTCTGCAATTGGCTACTGATTTAACAGAGTAGGATCAGCAAAAATAACATTCAATTTTTTTTTTTTTAGGATTGTCGTAATCTCTAACACACTTATGTTTCTCAAGCTGGGCAACTTGAACGTGGGTGGCCTTCAACTCCCAGAATCCATGGTTGGCTGGGGAATTCTGGAGGTTGAAGTCCACCCAACTTCAAGTTGCCAAGTTTGAGAAAGGTTGACTCAGCCTTCCATTTTTTTCGAGGTTGATAAAAAGAGGAGCCAGATTGTTGGGGGCAATAGGCTGACTCTGTAAATCCCTTAGAGAGGGCTGTGAAAGCACTGTAAGCAGGATGTAAGTCTAAGTCCTATTGCTATTGCCCTCCCTCCCTCCCTCCCATCCATCCATCCATCCATCCATCCATCCATCCATCCATCCAGTATTGCAGGCTGACTCTGCCCACTGCCAATAGTTCAATCCTGACCGACTCAAGGTTGACTCAGCCTTCCATTCTTCCGAGGTGGGTAAAATGAGGACCCAGATTGTTGGGGGCAAGAGGCTGATTCTGTAAACCACTTAGAGAGGGCTGTAAAAGCACTGTGAAGCGGTATATAAGTCTAAGTGCTACTGCTATTGAGAAACGCTGCTGTAACAGAACATGTTATTGTTACCCTCCTTCGCATGTTGTCTTTTGTACAATCAGGAGCCACACTTGGCAAAAACTGACTGAAATTAAAAGCCGGCCGATCAGATTCACACGTTACCCAAAACAAGACAGTCTTATAATTCAAACAGGTGAATGAACCCCGAACCTGATTCAGCTAAGATCCTGAACTGGTTTCCAACATTTCCATTTGATGTAATGGGGATACGTGTATAATTCAGGGTCACAGCAACAAAAAGTGCCCCCCAGCAGGGCAGTTGAGAAATAGGGCTGCAGTTCCTGGCACTTCTGAAAATACACCCAGCAAATTAGCTTTTAGGGAAATGGTAATGGGTGTGAGCTAAAGTAGCGTTATTTTCACATACCGTATTTTTCGGAGTATAAGACGGACCTTTTCCCCCCAAAAAAGAGGGTGAAAATCTGGGTGCGTGTTATACTCTGAATGTAGCCCCGCCCAAACAGAGGTTTCAGAGGCTGAAAAAAGCATCAGAAATGAAGCTTCAGAAAAAAAGCCTCCAAACAGAGCTTCAAAAAAAAAAGCCTTTTTTTCTGAAGCTCTGTTTCAGAGGCTTTCAGAGGCAGAAAAAAAAGTTTTTTCTGAAACAGAGTTTCAGAAGTTTCAGAGACAGGAAAAAAAAAGCAAGGCACAGAGCTCACAACCAAGGAACCTGTTGCTAAAATTCACCTCTGAGAACAGCTGATATTCTGGGAGGCCGATCCACCTGCCAATCCGCTTTTTTCTTATTTTCCTCCCCAAAAAACTAAGGTGCGTCTTATACTCCGAAAAATACGGTAGGTTTTTTTTTCCCAAACCTATTTAGGTGTGTAAGGCAAGCAAATGGAGCAACAGGGAAAAAAATATTCAGTTTGGCAAGACTGGGGGAAATCGAAGAATAAAACAGGGAAGAGAAGTAGGTGGACTGGATACGGGATCTCCCCGGAAATGCAGGAGTTGGTCGTGGGAACAGGTCAGCCCCGAATGGAAACAAATAAATGGAATTTATTTATTTATTTTTACCCCACCTTTTATTATTTTTTATAAATAACTCAATAAACAAAAACAGCCAGACAGGAACCGCGTTTCGGAGTCCACAAAGAAAAACAAATAACCAATGAAAAGAAATGTAAACAAAACGATTACGTTTAGTTCTTGACTTTAGGGATCGTTCAAAGTTACGGCGGCACTGAAAAAAAGTGACTTAGGACCGTTTACGCGCACTTATGACTGTTGTGGCATCTCCAGCTGGTCACGTGATCAAAATCCGGTGATCTCCTTTTGAGACCTTTTCCACAAGCAAAGTCCATGGGGAAGCCAGATGCACATTACAATGGTTTTATTTATTTAACAACTGAAGTGATTCACTTAAACTGTGGCAAGAGAAGTCGTAAGATAGGGGCCAAGCTCGCTTAACCACTGTCTTGCTGAACAACAGCAATTTTGGGTTCCATTGTGGTCATAAGTTGAGGATTACCGGTAAATTTCAACCTTAGCCAGCAATAAAATGGGACTTTCTGAAAAGCAGAGCATTAGAAAGAAGCCTCCAAGCAATTGCTTGTCCTGGCTGAAGAACCAGCTTAGTTTGTTCCCCTGACCAGAGGCAGCAGGTGTTTTTACCTGCTGCCACGCCCCCTCCCCAGGTGATTGGCTTCGCTTCCTGTCTGCTAGATTGCCAAGTCACAGGGCCAGAGCTGAGTTGGGTTGGGTTGCAGGCACAGGCAATGTGCCAGTTCTACATTTAAGGTGCTGATTTTAGAGCTAGCTTTAAGCATCAAAAGCTGTACAGCTTTGACTACCAGAAAAGGTTCTTGCACTCAGATCAGTCTCCCTCAACCTGCCACATGGAGGAAGGATCCTTCAGCAAGGAT